CAAGAGGGCTGTTGTGTCCCCCAAACACCTTCCGATCCCCCTCTGCCACGGTGGATGTGACAAGATCAGCTGGCTTCCAGAAGGCAAAGTATTCAGTAATGTTCAAAGAGAAAAGATCATCTCCAAGCTTCTTAAAGAAAGTGTCCTAAAGAGAGTGTTCCGTTCAAAGCAAATGAGGTGGGGGGCTCCCAACCACCAGAAAGAGGAGCCAAGCTCCAGCTTTCCTGGCGCCAGAAAGTAAGTTCTGATCCTAAAATTTAAATCAAAATTCAAAGTAAATTTAACAGAAGGCTAAGAAAACCAGTTACAGAATATATGCATCTGAAGGACAGAAAGACGTTTTAAACAATTCAACCTGTAGAAACCAAGTCTTGCAGAAAAATCTAAATAAAGGTGGAAATATGGTTGAGCATTTATTCAAAAGTACTAACTGAAATATATGCAGATGTAGAATTTACTGATGTAAATTTCTTATTTTTGGAAATATATTTATATGTATCACTATCACATTCATTCTAGGAGTAAATACATTTTAAACAAGATTTCTCATATTTTTGCAATAGACTGGTGGCCTATCAAATAAAGAAACAGAGTATTAAAGGATAATTTTTCAAACAAAAACACAACTTTTAACAAAATCTTTTCACTTATTCTTCTTAAAAAGGGATTATAATTATAAAAATTATACAAGTAAGTTAGGGTAGTTAGAAATGGAATCCTAAATCAGGGATAAATATAATTGGCTGTGACTGAAAGACAAAGGGAATAAAAAACAAGTTAGCTAAATCAGCCACTAAATACAAACTGCTCATAGTTGAATTGAAATGTTCCCCACTCAGCATCTACATGAGAACAAAAATGCATATTATTAATTGGAAAATATTATCCTTTCTGAAAATCTATAATAATAAAAGCATAATATGCTAATTAGACCGAAGTCCATCCTTCTGTCCTTCCAGATGAAGCTGGGACTGCGAGGGAAGCCTGGGTCCCCGGTGCCAGAGGAAAGCCAGTGCCGGCAGCCAGGGGAAGGAGGGCAAACTCTTGCACAAATTTCGTGCATCAGGCCTCTAGTATTTACATAATTACACTGAAGAAGACTCTATTGTAACATATGACCAGCCATGACCTTGGCAATAATCTAGGGAAAAACAAAGGTAGGTAAATGGGCAATGTAAAAACATGAGAGGTATCAAAAGAGGTAGACTGAAACAGAAGCCTTTTCCCTCCAGAATAAACAGAAACTAAACAATGTTATTACTGGCATTTATTTGCATAACCCTGGACTATGAAAAAAAATGTATATCAAAGTGCTTTCCAAAATAGCTATCTGGTGGTCAGTATGTCACCTTTGTCACAGTAGGAGAAACTGAGGTGGGCAGCAAGGCATGCTTACCTACTAAGTGATTGGCCCAAGGCTTTTCTTCTTTTCCACCAATTCAGACCACCTTCCTTGTAATTGATGTAAGGGCTTGTTGAATGACAGGAGACAGGGAACATCAACCTTACCCTACACCATTGGATTAGCTAAAGAGGTACTGGTTTCAGTGGAAGCCTGAGGCTACCACTAAAAATTGAATTCAGAGTGCCTTGGGATGCCCTACAAGGAAGGTGTGTGCTTCGGGGCTGAGAACTGATGTTAAAGCTGGACTAGGCCCAGTATGGAAAATAGCCCACTTCTAATTAATCCCCTTGCTCTCAAGGCTGGACTTGAGCCAAACTATACTCAAGAGTTTGGAGAAGGCATTGTTCTCTTAGTTGTTGCCCTTATATTTCACAGTACCACATTTCACATTTAGTTCTTCTCTGTCTTAACCTTGTCTCCTCACCACTTAGAATGAGGGTTCCCCTATAAATACTGTACAGGGACTATCATTTTAAACATGTAATGCTAAAAACTATCACTTCAACAAGTAGAGGTGTGGGGATGGTACATGATTTCGAGGCTGATGTCAAAGTGTTCAAAAGTTCTGCAGAGAAAGGAAGATTTTAGAAATACGGGGAAAAAAGAATCTTAGAGGATGTATTAATGGATGACAAACTCAGAGGGACTTTAGGGTCAAGAATCAGCTCAAATTCTGAAACAAAAGAAAAAAGCAGAAGCAGAAACATGAAGCAAGAAAGATGGGAGATGTGTGAAATGCATGCATGCATATGCATACACACACACACACTTCTTTTTTTTTTAAATATATTTTATTGATTTTTTACAGAGAAGAAAGGAGAGAGATAGAGAGTTAGAAACATCGATGAGAGAGAAACATTGATCAGCTGCCGCCTGCACATCTCCCACTGGGGATGTGCCCGCAACCCAGGTACATGCCCTTGGCCAGAATCGAACCTGGGACCCTTCAGTCCACAGGCCGACGCTCTATCCACTGAGCCAAACCGGTTTCGGCCACACTTCTTGTCTCCTATCTGGAGAACAACAACAAAAATTCCCAACTAGATAAATTTGTAAAAAGCATTAGCTGGAAATTCATGAACTCTAATATTTCGCCACTTCACTGTTTTTCAAGTAACTGTAAGTTGGGAAAAGTTGCTTAACATTTTTTAGTCTCAGTTTAGTCATTTATAAAATAGGAATAACTAGTAGCATCAACTTCATTGTGTTGTTAAGACTATTAAATTGGTTAATCTGTATAAAATGTTCAGTATGCCTGGCACATGGTAACCACATCATACACTCAAGCAAATGGTATTTTTGGAGTAAATTATTTCAAATATTTAATGAGTATATGCCAGCACACTGCTAGCTAGAAGAAGGCCAGGTCTTGCCTTCAAGGCATTGAAATGAGTGAGATATTGTAAATGTATAATTATAATGTGACAGTAAGGAGTTGTAAACAAGTCATCATAATATAACCCAAAATAGGGTTCTTGGAAGAGGTAGCAATTTGTTCTTCCTGAGGTATCAGGGAAGATGATTTGTGAGCTACATCTACATAAACAGGACTTAAGCAGATAAAAGGAGGGAGGATGTAAAAAAGAGGAGCAAAAATAGAAAAAGTAAACACAGTGTTATGTCCTGGGGGAGAGTGTTTAGAAAAACTGCCAAATGTGTAACATGTTCTTCTTCTTTTTTTTCATTGACTTGGGGGAGAGAGGGAGGGAAACACCGATTTGCTGTTCCACTTATTTATGCATTCATTGGTTGCTTCTTGTATGTACCCTGACATGGGACCAAACCTGCAGCCTTGGGGTATGGGGCACTGAGCTACCCAGCCAGGGCCTAAAGTGTTTGCCCTGTTGTAGGCACTGAAAAGGCCATGAGCAGATGCTTAAAGCCTGGCTACATAATTTGGGCTTTACCTTGGGCATGAGGAGGGCATTTGTTTTAGATCAGTGGCATAGAAAACAGTCTGAAGAGGAGCACGCTTAGGAGGGAGACATCCAAAGAGGCATAGGCTAATCTTACAATTATTCTTCTATATTTAATGTGCTGCTACTGGGTGCCCAGCACAATTGAAAGTGATAGGATTCAGCAATGACCTAGACAGGAAAGGCCCCTGCCCTCCTCTAGGGTTATAGTCTACTGCAAAGAGACAGGTAATTTAAAATGCAAATAAGACTGACAAGATCATGAGATGTACAGAGAAGAAATAAAAATGGTTTTATGAAATAATGTGGGTGGGAAGGAGTTTTTAAAAATGAAGTCAGGAAAGGCCTTTCCTTTTTTTTTTTTTTTTTTTAGTTATTTTACTTTATTTCTTGAAATAAAAAAAAAGAAAAGGCCTTAGAGGAACATGGAAATGCAGAGGAAGGACATCTCTGGGAGTGGGGTGGAGATGGGGACCACAGATCTGAGAAAACCCATGTGCATTTTCCTTGGAAGACACTCAAAGGAGCATGGGATCCCTTTCCCCAAGTGTTAAACCAGTGCAATTAGATGCGTAATAAAACATTTTGGTGGTTGAATTTAGAGCTGGGTGTTCAACCCAACAGAATGCAATAGTATCCATCAGCAAAGCAAAAAATTCGTCTTCAAATGACAATGCTTTATTATATCTACATCTGACACTTTTAGTATTTAGTTACATGTACAAATATATGGCAGTCACACATATGTAAATATTCACTTACATACTTATTTACATAATATATGTATATATAATGACATACCCATATTCTATATGTGTATATATACACATGTATTCTTTCCTCTCCTCTCCCTACTCCAAGCACTTATTTCAGGGAACTAAAGTAAGGGACATGAACTTGGAGGGCAAAATTGGCCTCCCACAATCTAAATGTATTATAGAAACAAACAAACAAAACTCCTTTCTGTTGTGATAGCAATGACTTAGGCCTGCTTTGGGCGGGAGCACCTACTTCTTCTACTGCTAGTATTTATGGTTCTACATATTATAAGCGAAGTGGCACTTGACATACAGCTGCACGTGCGCTCAGATTAGCCTCTGACGAGCTTAGCACAGGGCACAACCCCCGGCTTCCCGTGAACCGGGAGCGGGTGGAGGCTGGAGGCTGCGGGCGGGCGGGGTAGGGGTGGTCGGGGGGCACTGAGGCCGGGGCCCCGCCCGTCAGAGC